GGAGGCAGGGTCACGTGAGGGGGGCTCCACAGGACGGGGGCTGTGTGGGAACAGGGACGGCAGTGGGCTCCACAGGATGGGGCTGTGCGGGGAACGGAGGCGGGGCCGCATGAGGGGGGCTCCACGGGACAGGGCTGTGCGGGGATGGGGATGGAGGCGGGGCCGTATGATGGTGGCTCAACAGGACTGGACAATGTGGGGTAGGACCCAGAGCAGGGCCACGGGAGGAAGTCAAGCGCTCACCTGTTTGCACAGCTGTAGCGAGCGCGCCTCGTAGAGCAGCAGGGTGTGGTCGGCAGTGGCAGTGAGGAGCAGGCCGGCAGTGCGGGCCAGGGCACAGTGGCTCAGTTCCTGCCCGGGGCCTGGCAGCTGCGGCTGTGTGTACACACACTGCCCGGATGCTGCCTCCCACACACGCAGCAAGCCTGTGTGGGGACGGGTCAGCTGGGACCTGGGGGCCCACCCCAGCCCCCACCGCCTCCTGCTCACCTTTAGGCCCGGCCCCACCTTTATCACCAGCTGTCAGGAAGTGCAGGCCCGGGGACTTCACCCCCAGCTCAGGTGCCAGCTCCTCTGGCAACACCACGGCGGCCTCCACGCTCTGGGGATGAGCTGGGTCAGAGGCCGCTGCCCGACGCCCTCTGCACCAACTCACTGACCCAGCAGAGACCCCAGGTGCCCCACCTCAAACACTGGCACCGTCCTGGTGGCCCGGTGGCTCCGAAGGTCCCAGATGATGCAGATCTTGTCTCGGCCGGAGCTGGGAGGAGAAACAGCACCTCGGCTCAGGCGTCTCCCCGTGCCCTCCTCCTGCCAAGGCCTGCTGTGGTTGCTGTGCTGACCTGAGCATGGTGTGGCCGTCGGCACTAAACGCCAGGGAGGTGACAGCACTGTAATGGGCGGTCAGCATGGCCAGGCATGACCGGTCCTGCAGGGACCACACGCGGATGGCGGCATCTGCCGCTGAGGAGAAGAGCAGCAGGCGTGCCGGGTCCGGGTGGAAGGCCACCACACTGCAGCAGAAGGCAGACAGCTGAGCTCTGCTGCCCCCAGGCCTGCTGCCCAACTCCTGCCCATCCCCGGACACCCGACTTACTGCACGACGCCAGGTGAGCCCCGCAGGTGGTGCGTCCCATAGTGCCGTACGATGTCCCAGACACGCACGGCCCCGTCACAGCCGCCTGCAAGAGATGTGGTGTGATATACAGTGGCTGCCATTCCCAACACCCCCATACACCCTGGGCCTGCCCACCCAGCTGGGGCCCTACCTGTGGCTAGCAGTGTAGAGGTGGGATCAAAGGCCATGGTGGCCACAGGGGCCGTGTGCACTGCCTTCCACAGGCGTGTGACGGTGCCCTCTCGCCAGGCCCACTGGGCCAGCAGCAGTGCCCGGCTGGCTGTCACCAGCACCTGGGGGTGGAGGGCGTGGTTCAGCTGGGTAAAGACACAACCATCCTCCTCACGGACCCAAAATGGGGGTGAGAAGGCTCAGCACCACTTCCCACCCCCACCCCACGCACCTCGTCATCAGGGCTCAGGTCGAAGGCAGTGACGTCCTCCTGGTCCTCCTGGAGGCAAGAGCGGCCACCCAGCGCCGTGAGTACGGCAGATCTCCCCGGCCCCATCTCCCCGGCCCGGCCGTATCCTCACCTGTTCCAGGCTCCGCAGCACGGCCCCCGAGGCCACCTCCAGGACGTTGACTCTGGTGCCACAGACGCAGAAGAGGTGCTGCCCAGCTTGGTCAAGCTGGGGACAGTGGGTCTCAGCTGGGCCACGCTCCTCAGCCCCGCTCCCCTGCCTCCCCACGCCCACCCCACCCCACCCCGGGCAGGTACCTGCACCTTCCCGCCCTTGTAGAAAGGTTCAATCTTGCACTCCACGGCATAGCTGGAGGGAGGATGGGGGAGAGAGTGAGCCAGGCACCCCGGTCCCGAGGTCTGCACTCTGACTGGCACTAGGGCAGCAGCCGGGACCAGGGAGAAAGTCACAAGGGCAGAGATGGGGTCCTCGGCCACAAAAAGGCAGCTCCCAGGCTGAGCTGACATGTCATCACCTTTTTGAGCACCCCCGTTAGGGAGCTCGGAGATCCACGTGGGACCCCACAGCAGAAAGAGGTGGCTGGCTCAGACCCCAAGGGAGTGTCCCCAGCACAGAGCTGGGCAGGCCTTGGGCGCCCCCTGCTGGCCACAAGAGGCCAGAACTGGTATCTTCATCCCTGAGGTCCGCACCCCTTCCTTCTCCAGCCCTGGCTCCTTCCTGCCTCCCCAGCCTGGCCTGGCTCCCCCTCTCCAAGCAGCCGTCCTGGGACCTTCTCTGGCTGCCCTCTTTCACTCTGCCACCTGCACCCTGGCCCAGGCCACTGCAGCATCTCCTCCAGGTCCCCCACTTGCCCCGTCCATCCTGCAGCTACCTCTCTCCCTTTGTTAAAACCCTCCCTTTTCCTTACAAGCCCCCAAAGTCTCCCTAGAGGAGCCTCTGCCAACGTCTCCCGAGCTTCCCTCCTCTTCGCGGGCCACCCTGCAGTGCCAACTGCATGTCCCCTACAGGCTGTTGCTCCCTGGGTGAGGCCTGGGCCCCTGTCACCCAGTTTCAATGCCTGGTTAATGCGACGCAGGGAAGCCTGACTCCCAACATGAAACAACTGCCATAACGCGGACCCAGTAATGACCCAACACAGATGCCCCCTCAGTCCCGCTGCCAGCGATGGCAGCCATTTGCATAACGCCTTACCCCAGGAGGCTGCCCCCACGAGACGGGGGCTGAGTGTGACCTGAACCACGGGATGCTGGCCCCAGTCCACCAGCCGCCTCCTCTCTTCCTGCTCCTGGGAGAGGGGCAGGTGGTGGTCCCGCTCGCGCCCAGAACCAACTCCTGTGACCTGTGCTCAGGCCGCCCCGAGCCCCTGTCCTGGGATTTTTGGTCCCCGCACCGTGTCCCCCAAAGGAGTTCCAGTAGCGCAGTGCCTAAGGCATCTGACTACTAACCAGAAGGTTGCCGGTTCAAACCCACCAGCCACTCCTCGGGAGGCACACTGGGCAATCTACTTCCGTCAAGGTTTACCGCCTCGGAAACCCAAAGGGGGTCGCTAAGAGTCGGAGTGCACTGAATGGCAGTGAGTTTGGGTTTTCGGTTTTCCACACCCCAAAAACAGGATCCTCACTTGACCGACGTCTGCTGCTCCGGGAGGGCTCCAGTCCCCGCCCTTCCAGAGAGCAGAAAGGCCGCTCCCCCGCCTCGCATCACCGTAGCCGCCCCGACCCCGCGGCGCACACAGCCGTCAGCCATCCCCAGACGCCGAATGGACGCTGCTCCACGCACCCCTTCAACCCCACTCCGCCCGGGAACCCGGCTCCCTCTCCGGGCGGCGCCCGCACCCCACGACCCTGACTCACTTGGCCTTGAAGCGGCTCACTCCAGCCGCGGCCTCTGCCATGTCGCCGACGCTGCGGTCCCCTCTGGTCCCGCTGGGATCAGCCAGACATACCAGCGCCGCGTGAGGGAGATTCGGAGCCTGACTCAGTGCTCCCGGCGCGCTGCGATGACGTCACCAGCACTAAGCGAACCGCGCCATCTTTGCTGCGGGCGGTAGCTGCTGGGTCCGGAAAGGGAAGCTGAGGGAGGCATTTCCGGTTTGGAGGGTGGGGTGTGGGATTGTGTAGGTGGGCATGGGGTGGAGCTTGCCCGGATCTGCCTTTTTGATGGAAATAAAGGTGGTGTTCGTGGTAATCTCAAGATTTCTGAACTCACTCACTGCCATCAAGTCATAGTGACCCCTCCTTGGGTTTTCCAGGTGGTATCTCTACAGAAGTAGATTGCCCAGTCTTCCTTCCCAGGAGCGGTGGATGGGTTTGAACCGCCAGCCTTTTGGTTAGCAGTCAAGACGCCTAAAGAAACCCCCAAATTCCTGCTTCTTTGGTATTCTGGGATAAGGTAGCAAAGGCGGTCGGCGTGCGGTCCATGTGTGTAGAGCCAAACCAGTCCCTATTTTAGGAGTCTGAGTCCGGTATGATAAATAATGTTCAAGGAGCTCTGGTAGCATAGTGGCTAAAAGCACTTGACTGCTAACCAGAAGGCTGGCGGTTCAAACCCACCAGCCACTCCTCGGAAGGAAGGTTGGGCAATCCTACTTCCGTAGTGATACTGCCTCGGAAACCCAAGGAGGGGTCGCTAGGAGTCGGGGCCGACTCGATGGCACATAACAACAAAAACAACAACATATATGTTCAAAGCAGTTGGAACACACCAGTCAAGAGAACAGCCATCTAGCACTCAGGTTCTAGCGGGTGGGTGGGACCGGCAAGAGAAAATAATGCAGCTGGGACTCTGCACCTGTGGCTTGAACCAAGACAGACTGAAAATAGTGTGGGTGGGGAAGCGATTGAGGGTCAATCTCTCAAAGGCTAAGACTATAAGGTATTATGGTGAACTAGAGGTGACAACGTGTACGGGAGGATCTATGTAGGTTCTATGCAAATGCTACACCCTTTTCTGTAAGGGACTGGAGCGTCAGTGGATTGTGTAATCTGCCAATTCCGAGCAACAACGGTAGCTAAGTGCTGTGGGGAATATAAGGAGCCCGAGGGGGGCAGTAAGCACTCAGCTGCTAACCCAGAAGTCGGCGGTTCAAGCCCACCATCCACTCCACAGGAGAAAAATGTGGCAACATCCGTAAAGGTTTTCAGCCTTAGAAATCCCATGGAGCAGTTCTGTTCTGTCCCATAGGGTTGCTATGAGTTCGAACTGACTCCATGGCAGTGGGTTTGGTTTGGTGGAAAGTACAGTTCGGGTAAGGGGTGGGGGAGGGGGTTCAGGAAGCATGGTTTTAAGTGCAGTAAGTGGAGGTGTCATTGAAAAGCGGCAGGCTGAGTGCACAAGCCCTGGGGGTGATGCACACCCGTAGCAGGATCCCCGGTAGTGTGGGTGCGGGCAGTGAGCGGGAGGAGAGGGGTAGAAGCATGGGAGGGTTCCTAAGGGCTGTTCTGGGATGATTGTCCTACTAAATTCAGCGTTTGTGCTACAGGCTGTGATGCTGGGAAGACAATGCTATAATGGAACCTGGAAGGAGAGGTGATTAAAGAAAACAAAAAACAAAAACCACACCCACTGCCCTGGAGTGGATTTTGGTTCACAGCACCCCTAGAGGACAGAGTGGAACTGCACCACAAGGTCTCCAAGGCTGTCAGTCTTCACAGAAGCAAAGTCCAAACCACACCCATTGCCTGGGAGTCTATTCCAACCCACAGCGCCCCTAGAGGACAGAGTGGAACTGCACCACAAGGTCTCCAAAGCTGTCAATCTTCACAGAAGCAAAGTCCAAACCACACCCATTGCCGTGGAGTCCATTCTGACCCACAGCGCCCCTAGAGGACAGAGGCAAATGCAGGATGAAGGGAGGAGCCTGCCATGCAGGGGGACCAGCCAGTGCAAAGACCCAGAGGTGGGAAAGAGCCCAGAGAAACCGGGGGAAAAAGGGCCGAAGCGCTGCTGAGGATATGATATGAAGGGAGGAGACAGGAGAGGTGGGCGTGGCCACCAAGCACGGAGGCGCCGGGGCGGGGCAGGCCTGGGCCCCGCCTTTATTAATCCTCTATGTACAAGATATCTTGGCCCTGGCCCTCCCACACCCCAGCCCCACTGCTGCCTTCCGGGACGGCCTGGGCCGGGGAGCGGACGAACAGGGCGGCATCGCCCTCCAGTAAGTCACCGAGCTGGGCCAGCTGCCGGCGGATGAGGTTGGTGGCGCGGTGCACCCGGCGCACGCGCCGCAGCAGGCGGGCCAGCAGGGTGCGGCTGCGCGCCTGGCGTACGCCCCAGGCCTCGCGCAGCTCGCGGTAGCAGTTGTGGTCCGCCTTCTCGGCCGGCCCCAGGGTGGCGCCACAGCCCAGGGGGCAGCGCTGCTGGGCGCTCTGCTGGCAGTGCTGCCGGTGCGCGGCCAGGACCTGGCGTGGCACCCGCGCGGAGCAGCCCTCGTTGGGGCAGGTCGTCAGCTCGAACGGGCATGAGGCCTGGTGCCCCTTCCGATGGGCCAGGGGGCACGTCACCAAACAGCCAGCGTCGGCGTTCTTGCACTGGGGGCGGGCGAGGGCATCGTCAGCCGGGCCCCCCACGGGGTCCCACCCCCACCCCAACCCCCAATCCCACTACATTCCCTAGAACTAGAACCAGCGAATTGGGTGTGTTTGAGGGCTGACGGGGAGGGGAACAGCGGGCAAGTGGGTCGAAGTGGGATCTGGGCTTCCCAGGGAAGGCAGGGTCTGAGTTTGCAGAACAGGGCCGAGTTGGGCTGGCAAACCTTGCACACCGCGATTTTTTTTTTAAACCCCTGCCATACTTTAAGCCTGTCACTTCCGCTTGTGGAACCTCATTTTCCCCACCGGTGAAATCAGGGGTCTGGAGGGTAATGGGTAGCTGGCATGACAGGCACTCCATTCTCTCTAAATCCTCTATTATCCCCATTCACAACTGAGGGCCCAGGAGCTCAGAGAGTTTAGGCAACTTGCTTAGAGTCGCACAGCAAGTGAGTGCTAGAGCCACAGTTCAAACGCTGCCAGCTCTGACGACCCCAAGGTTGCAAGCAGAGACCTGAGTTCTCTCCGAAGATGGGGTTCCTCTCTCCCTCCCCTAGCCCCGCCCGGCCTGCTCTGGGAGAGGGTTCAGAGGGGCGGGCGGGGCCGCCGGGGGCTACCTTGACTTCCAGGCGGCCGATGGCTCTCTGCAGTTGACTGGCGTGGACCATGCTTTTGCGGCTCACGTCTTCCCTGCAGCAGGGGCAGGTCTTCTGTCTGGAAGGAGGTACGTGGTGGAGTTTGGGGTAAGCGGGACAGTGGCAGCCATATGCGTCCCCCCGCTGGGCACGTACTGCGGTACCCTTTCCTCTCCAGCCCCGGCTGGAAGGAGGCATGACGGGGCCAATTCGGGAAGCTCTCAGAAGGTGAGGTACTCTCTGAGGCTCAGGCACTTAGAGGGTGCTGCAGGCACCATGCAGGGCTCCCCGCACATCTTAGTGGCCCTTTGGTGGCTGGTCTATGGGTGTGTATGATCCAGGGCATGAGCGACCTTCCCGTCCAGGCCTCCCCGCCCCTGGGTGCCCAGGACACCTGGCCAGCCACCGAAGGATGCACTTCTTGCAGAAGACATGGTGGCACGGCAACCTCACCGGCCTCTTGAGCACCCCGTGGCAGACAGAGCACAGGAAGTTACAGTCCGGAGGGCTGGCAAACAGGCTGAGATCATAGCCTCCACTCTGCAAAGACCGGGCCAGGTCAGGGCTGGCAAACAGGCTGAGGTCATACCTTCCACTCTGCCAAGACCGGGCCGGGTCAGGGCAGCGACAGGCTCCACCGGGCCCAGCTCCACCCCACAGCCCCGGAGGACACGCCCAGCAAGCGTTGGGTAGGTAGGTACACAGGTGGGAAGAGAACCTTGAGTGGACGGCCGGGGTCAGCACCTGCTCTAAGGTGGCTGCTATGAAGTCCCAACCCCTCCAAGTCCATCAGCCCCACTGGAGTCAGACCTAGGGGGAGGTGCCCTCTGAAAGGCCCCTCCTTTCTCAGAGTGAGGAGGAGGGGCCAGCCCTGGCCAGCACTGGGCGTGAAGCTAGCGGTAGGGGTGGAGGGCTTGGGCTCACCATGTCTCTGTCCCACAGCAGCTTCACTGCCTCACAGGGTGCAGGGCCCCCATTTCACAGTGGGAGGGGCCGACATCACAGTGCCATTGTCCAGCTCAGGCCAATCACAGCCCTAGCCCAGGGCCCACTGGGACCCTGCACAGCCTGGGCCCTGGGCCCTGCTTTGCCAGTTCACAGGGAGGGGTGGGGCAGCCTGTGGGGGTGGCCAGCCTCCGTGGAGCTGTTAGGAGGCTTTAAGTTTTAGTTTTTACTGTAACTTGGGTGAGTTTACAGAGAAAATCCACTTTCCATGTAAGTGTATACACAGTTTGTTTCATGACACCGACTGTAGTCCCCACAATGTCTCTTCCCACTTCCTCCCCGTAGTTACCCCCTTCCCTGTGTCCCCCTTTCCTGTGCGTTTCTGCCCTCCTCCAGCTGTCCCCCTGTGCCAACACTGTCCTGCCCCCCACGATGGATTACCCCAAGGAGTGTAGCTACCTGATAAAATGTTCACCCTAGATGCCTACTGTTTGGCTGGAAGGGTGACTAGGGGCCACGGTCTCCGGGGTCTCACCCGGCTCTATCAGATCAGTAACCTGGTCATCTCTGATTTTTTGTTCCACACTGTTCTCCCACTTTATCCAGGATCTCCTGCACTGATCCCCCCGAGTGGTTGACAGTGGTGGCTGGGCACCACCTAGTTCTTCTGGTCTTGTGGTCATATAGGCTGAGGTTTGCATGGTCCACCAGTCCCTTGGACTAGTTGTTTCCATGCATCTTTGGTTTTCTTCATTCTTCTTTGCTCTGGACGAGGAGAAACCCATTATTGCATCTAGGTGGCTGCTCGCAAGCTTTGAAGACTCCAGTCTGTTAGTAGACTTGAAGAGTTTGCCCCATCCTTCCTCAGACAGACCTGCCCAGGGCTGTGAAGACCAAATTCAAGTGCAACCTGTAGGGTACCACAGCAGCAAGTGCTAGGTCAGGAAGGAAACCATCCAGAAGAGATCACCAGGAGTTATCTGGACAAACCCATGAGAGAACACATCAGATGACCAAGTGCAACCTGTAGGACCAACGCGTTCCCACAGGTGAGGAACTGAACAGGGAACAGCGGGTTCAGAGCAGGGGGCGCCAAGCTCACCTTGGTCTAGATCAACAAACCCTGCACGGTCAAAGCCCTGTCCCCAGCACCTCGCGCTTCCATCCCGGCTAGAGGTGGGCTGGCCCAGGCCATGCCCCTTCCCACAGTGTGGAAGCCCGAAGGACATCCTGGGGTACGGGCGGGTCAGCTTTCCAAACTCTTACCTGTTACTTAACCAGTATCACCTGCCAACCTTGGACACCCAAGTTCTACTCCAATGAGGAGTCCCAGCCACCCCGAGGGATGGTTGTGGAGGGGATAACCCCACCCCACAGGGTGATCGCCTCCCCAGCCTGTCCTGGCCTCACATCAACAGATCTCTCTCCCAGACTAACAGCCATGGTCCCAATAACGCCCACAAGCAAGCCCACCGGACAAACAACTTCGTCTGAGAGGTGGAGCCAGCGCTCCCTCCCCACGAGGTCCCAGCAGCGTTACCCGCAGGAAAGCGGGGGGCTTGTTACCCGTCCCAGGATTTCTTTATCAGGAGAGGCCTGTTTTGTTTCCTTATTTCAGTCTGCCAGTCCCATCCCACCCATCTATTCTCTTTCTTTATACGCCTAATTACGTGGATTCAGCCATCTGAGGTTTCCTGGGAGCCTCCAGGGTGGCCCACCAGGCGGACAGAACCTCAAGGCTAGCATACGTGAATGTTGCATTCGTGTCCCTGGGGGCAGGTGGAGGACTCTCTGTACCACTTCTGTGCCTGGTCTAGGTGGTGGTTCCTTCGCCTGCTGGCCTTCTGTTGTGGCGGTTGTGGTCATCTCTAAACTTCCTGCCCCTTTTTTAAAATTCTTATGGTGATTTGGGTTAAAGTTTACAAAGCAAATTCATTTTCCATACAGTAGCTCACAAGTCATGTTGACTGCAATCTCCCACAAGGCAACAGCTCCCCTCCACGCACCCCTGCTCCGAACTGTCTCCCTGTGCATACACAGCCCTTCTGTTCTCTCATGATTCATCTCTCCAAGGAGTGTATCTACCTAATGTAAATGTTCAGCTCATATGTCTGTCTTTTGTTTGGATGGAAGCCACAGGAGTTAAACTTCTTACCTTCCTGATGGAAGGTTTTCGATCGTTTTCTCCCTTTTCAGGCCTGGTCATGTCTAACTGCCACTCTATCACTCCCCACTCAAGAACTTGTTGCTGAAAACCTTTTGGGAAGATGATGATCACTCTTCTATATCTGCTTCCTGTGGACTGGGGCAATGAGTGCCCAGAGAGGGTAACAAGCTTCTTGCCCTCTGTCAGAGGCTGAATTGGGCAAAGGCATGGTTTAAGCAGCGGTAGACAAGATTAAAGAGCTGAACAGAAAGTTTCAAAGAGCAGCTCGAGCAGACAAAGCAATTACTGTAATGAAACATGCAGACTTGGAGTTGGAAAGCCAAAAGGGAAAAACACGCTCGGCAATTCTCAAGCTGAAAGAACTGAGGAAAAAATTTAAGCCTCGAGTTGCACTACTGAAAGATTCTATGGGCAAAATACTGAATGATGCAGGAAACATCAAAAGAAGATGGAAGGAATACACAGAGTCACGGTACCAAAAAGAATTTCATCCATTTCAGGAGGTGGCATATATTCAAGAACCAGTGGTATTGAAGGAAGAAGTCGAAGCTACACTGAAGGAATTGGCAAAGAACAAGGCTCCAGGAATTGACGGGATACCTACTGAGATGTTTCAACAAACGAATGCCCCACTGGAAGCACTCACTCAGCTATGCTAAGAGATCTGGAAGACAGTTGGCCAAATCTGTCTTCCAAATCTCTTGGCATAACTGAGTGAGTGGGAGCTCTGGTAGCATAGTGGCTAAGACACTTGCCTGCTAACCAGACGGCTGGCGGTTCAAACCCACCAGCCACTCTTCGGAAGGAAGGTTGGGCAGTCCTACTTCCGTAATGATACTGCCTCGGAAACCCAAGGAGGGGTTGCTGAGTCTGGGCCGACTCGACGGCAAAACAACAACAACAACAACTGAGTGCCTCTAGCAGGGCATCTGTTTGTTGAAACATTTCAATGGATATTCCGTCATTTCCTGGAGCCTTGTTCTTTGCCAATTCCTTCAGTGCAGCTTCGACTTCTTCCCTCAGTACCATTGGTTCTTGAACATATCCCCCCTCTTGAAATGGATGAAGATCAACCAGTTCTTTTTGGAACAGTGACTGTGTATTCCTTCCATCGTCTGTTGATGTTTCCTGCATCATTCAACATTTTGCCCATAGAATCTTTCAATATTGCAACTTGAGGTTTAAATTTTTTCCCTCAGTTCTTTCAGCTTGAGAAATGCCAAGTGTGTTCTTCCCTTTTGGTTTTCTAACTCCAGGTCTTTGCACATTTCATTTTAGTAACTGAGTTTGTCTGCTCGGGCTTCTCTTTGAAATCTTCGGTTCAGCTCTTTTTATCTTGTCATTTCTTCCTTTGCTTTA